AAAACCAAGCTCTTTTATACCTCTTGAGGTATTACAAATAACATGACCTTTACAATATTTTGTCCAATAAAATATGCTTATTAATCCTATTTCTGTAATACTAGCTTACTAATCTTAAATTACTAATGCTATGACTCATAATGACTAATCTTATGAGTCATTATTACAAATAATCTTATTAATAATTCAAAGTAAATAATTATGTCATAAAATAAGTTATAAATAGAAATGATGTAATGATCTACATGTGTAACATGACGCAATGTGCAGCGCAGTTGTTACACAAAATATTAAGATAAAATAGAAAAATGATATTATTGTCACGTGACTGCTGCAGTAATTTGGTTTCGATTGATCGACATGCTCGGGACTTCCTCAGTCCTGACTTACAATCTCACAATATTTTTAATCTTATTATTAATCATGATTTAGTGTTGTATTTAATTTTTTTTTTAAAAAAAAGTGATTGAACGAATTTAATGAATGGATTCATTCATTTATATATATAGAAAAATTGTTACATGGTTTTACTGATTTGAATGACTAAAATGAAATTCTATGATATTAATCAATTTGGTATTGAGGTTGTAAGATTGAGCATGAAATTTTTACAAGAAATTAATTTCTATGATACTAATCAATTTGGTATTGAGGTGTGAAGAACTTTTACAACGGAAATTTAGATAAAATTCTATAATAATAATCAATTTAGTATTGTGGTTGTTTTTTTACAACAGAAATTTAATTATGGATACTAATAAATTTGATATTGAGGTACAAAAAAATTTTACAACAGAAATTTGGATAAAATTCTATAACAATAATTAGGATGACAAAAATTAATCAGTAGGGAGAGATTCAGTATGGTATAACTCTTGCAGAATGTATGGTATGGTATGGTATAGCCCATATTTTTCCATACCAAGTCACACAAAATTTTATTCTAAATCCTTTTTGGTGGGTGTAAAGGAAGTATGTTAGATTTAAGCATTGGTATACAACCATTTTATTACACTTACACAATACCATACCATATGTTTTGCAAAAGTTATACCATACTGAATGTCCCTATACTCAAATTAATTTAGTATTGTGGTAGTGGGTAGTACAACAAATATTTACAGATCTACATAGCAATAGTAATTAGATGAATGTGAAAATTGAAATTTGCATTAATGGAAATCATTGAATAGTTGTAATAATTGAAGTTATTATTTTGCAAGTCTGTTTTAATAGAAACCATTGATTTAATCCAATTAAAGAAAAATTGATTTAATTGAAAATTGAATGGTAATGATAATAATCAATAAATTGTTCTGTTGAAGGAAAACTGATTTAGTTGAATGGTAATAATAAAAATCATCAAATCATTCTGTTAAAGGAAACTAATTTGGTTGAATGGTAATAATAAAAATCATCAACTTGTTCTGTTAAAGGAAAACTGATTTGGTTGAATGGTAATAATAAAAATCATCAAATTGTTCTGTTAAAGAAAAACTAATTTGGTTGAATGGCAATAATAAAAATCATTTTGTTAAAGGAAATCAATTGAAGTTGAATCAAATCTCTTTTCTGATAGAAGTCATTGAATTTATCTTGTTAAAGAAAAATCAGGTTTAGTTGTATAGCACCAATTTATTATAAATAAGAAGAAATTTTGTTCTTCAAAAATAAATTTTTTTGTTAAAAAAAAAACTAAAAAAATATAAGACCAACAAATCTTTTATAAAAATTGGTTTTCTTTTCTAACAAAATATTCAATTAAAATTAACTTTAATAAATCATTTCTTTTTTCCTTCTAACAAAAATATTCAATTAAATTGAAAATTTGGTTTTTATAACAATAATCTTCTCTTCTAACAAAATATCTAATTAGAAAATTCTAAAAAACCAGTTTTTTTACTCTTTTCTATCAAAAATATTCAATTGGAATTAAAAAATTGGGTTTTCTTCTTTTCTATCAAAAACATCAATTCTTTATTTAAAAATTATCTTTTTTTCTCTCTCTTATATCAAAAATATTCAATCGGAATTAATTCTATATTAAAAAATCATTTTTTATTTTAGTTAAAATTTCACCTTTTTTATATATTTATATATTCTTTTTCAATATGAATACTGAAAATCAAATTGTTTCTTTCAAGAATGCAATTATCATTTAAGAAGATGATGATGAAAGAATTACATTAGTTGACAATGATTTGTAAACAAATAATATTTAATGTTAATTATTTGCTATTACTACTACTTTTTACTAATATTATTATTATGTTTAGGTTTGAAAATTATTATGAAAATTGTTATAATTTAATTAATTCTATTTATGTGAAAAAAGTCATTAAAAATAAATTTCCCAAAAATAAGACTTGTTCCATCATCCATGAAGTTTAAAATTTTTGAAAATGATCCTGGGAAAGAATTGACAATAAAGGAGATAGTTAAAAATGACTTGGAAATTCCACCTTTGGGATACATTAGAAAAATAATTGATCAAATAAATGACTACATTGGAAAAGATGAAGAAAAAGAAAAAAAAAGAAATCAAATGTTTATTAAAATACCTTCTTTTGGAATAGCCAAATTCTGTGATTTAAACAAAATAATAAACTTGCATACAGCAATGTTGTTTCAAACTAATTTCATAAATTTAATCAATTGGGTTGATAGTAAATTGAAGAGGTCAAACAAATTGAAAGAAAAATTAATAAATACTAATAGATTATATAATAATTTAAGAAAGAATTTAAATGTAACTATTTTAGATTTATGTACCTTGGCAAGTCAGAATTATGTTAATGATATGGTTATTGAATCAGTACTTAGGATATTTAAAGCATTCAAATATGATAACAACAAAAATAATAATTTTATTTTGGCTCCAATATATTTATACACTTATATAAGCGATGGAAAACTTGATATTGCATATAATTTATTAGGTCATTTATCAGAAAAAATTAAAAATATATATATAATTATACACATAAATAATAATAATTGGGGAGTTGTAAAACTAGATTTAGATACCAAAAAAAATTATTTTGGTGATTCTTTATATTATCAAGCTCCAATTGATTTAATAACCAATATTAACAGATTATTTGAATTTTATGGAATCTCTTTTGAAGATGAAGTTTATTATATTGGTGAAATCCCTTACCAATGTGGAACTTTAGATTGTGGAATAACGATCTTAAATTATATGAAGAAATTGGAATAAGTAATAAATCATGGGATAGAAAATATCCACTTATTTTAGACCTAGATACTTGAGTCTAATTCTAAATTATGATTTAGAAGGATTTGATTTCCCATAAATATTGGAGCTTTAATTGAAAGTAAATTTCCATCATTGCAATCATATTCAACAGAGATTGATGATGAATGCAAAACAATAGAAATTGACAAGTGTGAAAAAATAGAAATTGACAAATGTGAAAAAATAAATGAATGTGAAACCATAAAAATTGATAATTATTCAATGGAAGTTGATGGTTATGAACATATGTCAATGGATAATGGCTGTTTTGAAACAAATCAAGATATTTCTGAAAGAATTGGTGTAATAGAATTATCTTTGTCAAAATGTTGGGGTTCATTGAATAATGCAATAGCAGATGTTAAAAAATATGCATATGAACAAGGAGTCAGCACAAGCATTGAATCCTCAAGAGAATATGGTGTTTACCTCAGGTGCAATCATTCTGGAAAACAAAGAGGCAATAGAAAAAATCTTGATCCTTTAAAGCAACATGATAAACAATCAAAAAGAAAAGGTTGCCTGTGGAAAGTAATTCAAAAACTCAAGGAATCCATATAACTAAAATTGAAAATACACATAATCACCAAATTACTCCAAATGAAATTGAATATTATTCATACAAGTCGGTGGATAAAGAAATTTGGGATGAAATTGAACTTTATGTTGGCCAAAAACTTGGTTTGCCTCAAATAAGAGGTATTCTAGAAAACAAATATCCAGAAATAAAAATAAATGATATAAATTTGAATAATTTTATCCAATCTGTAAAGAAGGTATCATAAGTTGATGCAGCAGAATTATACAAGATGTTTATAGATAGGAAAAATATAAATCCAGAATGGTTTGTTGAGTTCTATGTGGATAATGACACCAGAAGACTAAATCGAATTTTTTGGATGAATCCTGTCCAATTGAAAAAATGGTATAAATACAATGATATAGTAATCATTGATACCACATACAAAACAAACAAGTTTAATATGATTTTATGTTTTGTACTTGGTGTAAATAATGAAGGACAGTCAATAATTTTATGTCAATCATTATTAGATAATGAAAGTTTAGAAAATTTCAACTGGTTTTTCAAATGTCTAAAATCAGCAGTTTCTGATTCACCAAAGGTCATTATGAGTGACCACAACTTAGCAATGGAATCAGCCATAGAACAACAATTTCAAAACACACATCACTTTTTGTGTCTATATCATATTTATCAAAATCTCAACAGGAATGTAAAGCCCAAATAACAAAAAAAATAATGAATTTATTAAAGATTTTAAAAATCTTTTGGATTCCATTTCAATTATTTCGTTTGATAACTTGTGGGATCAATTAATACAAAAATACTTTAATGGAAATGTTGACAATTATTTAAATAAGCACTTATACAATGTTAAAAATAAGTGGGCATGGTGTTGGAAAAATCAAATAATGACAGCTGGTATCAAAACAACTTCGCGTTTAGAAGGTTATCATGCAATCATAAAAAAATAATTACATTCTAATTCAAGTCTTGTTGAAGTTTTTGAAAAAATTGAAAATGACATACAAAAAACAGAGAAAATTAAAATTAACAGTTGGTATTTGAGTAAAAACATCAATTATGGGTTTAACAACACCATAATTGATGTATATAAAGAAATAATTGCAAACATGAAAATACACTTATCAGACTTTTCTCAGTCTTTGATTAAAATAGAAATGGTGTCTTCATATTTTTATCAATGCAATATTTCTACAATTGAAGAATTATGTGTCAATAATTCTGATAATGATACTAATACCAACGACATTAATAATGAGGATGGCAATAACTTTGATATTTTTGATGTAAGAGGTTCTTCATTACATGAATTAATCTTGGCAGCTGAAGAAAATCCATCAGAAATTTGGAAATTATATCACTATAATTCAAATAAAAACCAATATGTCCCTTGTTTTTGCTGATGGTTCATATGTGTGTACTTGTATGCTCCTATCAAATCATGGAATAGTATGCAGACACTTTTTTGTAGTTTTAAGAAGTAGCAAAATCTTAAATTTTCATATAAGTGTGATCACAAAAAGATGGTTTAAGGATCCAATAGATGATAATAAGTTGAAAAAGGAAAATATCTTGAGTAGTAATTGCATTAGGACTTACAATGAACCAAACCCATTTGTGGAAACATTTGGTGAAAGTTCAAAAAAATTTTTAAAAATAAATCCACCAGCAATTGTTGAAAGAAATAACAATAGAAAAGATAACAATTATATTACAGTGTTTGATAAATTTAGAAAAGTTGTGAAAATTGCTGATGAAGACAAAGAAAAATATTTATTGGTAGAAAAGGCACTTAAAGATGTGTATTTGGAAATAACAAAAGAAGAAAATGAGATTAAAAACCCTTTAAAAGTAAAAACTAAAAGGCATACTCCCCAAAAAGTCCATTATACTAGATCAAAATGTAAAAAAAAATAATAATAATGGTAATAATAGTAATAGAAAAAATAATAATGATAATAAAAAAATAATAATGATAACAATAAAAATAGTAATAGTAATAGAAAAAATTAATGAGTTGATTAGGAAATCACAAATTGTCAAAATTTGTATATAAAATTTATAAAATTATAAATAAAAAAAAATTTGAAAAAAAATCTTGACATGAAGTTTTAACAATTAACCAATCTATGTTAATAACTATCATCTTGAAATATTAACCATTGAATGTATAAAGCAATCTATTAAATAATATATTCGCCTAATGTTAAAAAGGAGTACTGATTAAATTTTTATTTTTTAAAAAATTACAAAATTATATGTGCGCATCTCTAAACATTTTTATTAAACTAAAAAAATAAAATATTTTCTTGACTTAGTTGTCTTGAAAAAAATTCCTAATCATGGCTAAAAATAAAGTTTCTAGTAGTGGATATTGCTAGTTGACTAGCAATGCTAGAAAAAATAATAATGATAAAAATATATAGTAAAAATAATTTTTATTTCTATTTAAAAAATATATAATAAAAATTAATGTTTAAATAACGCATGTTGCTAAACCATCACAGGAACATAAGTGATTTTTGAAAATTATCACCATTGAAAATCATTGAAAATCTTATACTAATTTGTAGGGTTCTGTATATTCCGCAAAAAGAACCTTTCTGTTTCTGTATATAATATTTTCCTTTTTTTAGATGTATTTATTTTTTTTAAAAAAAATGCAATAAAACGTGCATGATGCACATGAAATTAAGGATACTGGCTGCAACTTTTGATGATGGATGCTACCATCTTTGCATCATATAAAAATGATTGCAACTGCTGGTTGCAACCGCCTTTACAACTATTTTGTTTCCTTTTTTGGTTTGTGACATGGAACACTAGTGTTGCTTCCCTTGCATGCTTCTGCAATTTTTTTTTTATTCGGCTTCAACTACCTCCGATTGAACTTCAGAGTATCTGTTTCTGACCCTTTGTGATGATGACATATTATTATTATATTAATATAGAAAAAACGACATTAAAAAATACGTTGCGAAATCCTATTATAAAATTCCTGACATTTTAAAAAATTTTGGGAATTGGCCATTTTCCTGTTACACGTGTATAGATTAAAATTTTACTTAAATTTCTTATTATTAAACCTTATTTCGAATAGAAAACCATACTACTACTAATTATTATTTAAGAAAATTTTTTGATCCGATATGATAAAATTTTCCCAAACTGGGCAATTCCCCCGATATTTTTGGTCATGAGGAAATTTTAATATAAAGTATGCTAGTATAAAAAAGTAAATTATTTTAATCATAAAAAACTTTTTTTCTCGTTTTTTTAATAATAACAAAAAAATGGTATCCTCAGATAATGCTATTATTTTAAAGCCAACAGGCGATCCCATGCCACTCATTGGTTTCGGTACATGGCAAATACCTAAAGATATAGCTGCTGATACTGTTTATCATGCTTTAAAAAATGGTTATCAATTATTAGTAAATACTCTTTTTAAATTTTTTTGTTTGTTCCAATTGTAATTTATTAATAATTATTTAACAATTTAACAATTTATGTGTGTATATAAATGCAGGATGGATCACCTGACTATGGTAATGAAAAAGAAGTGGGTGACGGAATTAAGAAAGCAATTGATGACGGGTTTGTAAAACGCGAAGATATTTTCATCACATCCAAGGTAATAAACAAATAAACAAATATATATTTAATTAATTGGATGAATGAAGTCTTTTTTAAAAATTTATTAATTATTAATTTGTAAATAGTTATGGAACACTTATCATAAAAAAGAACATGTTAGACCAGCTCTTGAGAGAACGCTTAATGATCTTAATGTGAAATATTTAGATCTCTATTTGATTCATTTCCCTATATCATTGAAATATGTTGATCCAAAAGAACGTTATCCTCCTGAATGGTATTATGACACTAAGAATAAGGTTTGTATTCAAGAAGATGTCACTATTAGAGAAACATGGGAAGCTATGGAAGAATTGGTTGACGCTGGATTAGTTAGGGTAAATATATATAAGAGAGTGTGTATATCAGAAATGGTGTGTGTTTGTGTATATATGTGTTTTACATACAACTCATTCACCTTATAATACAGAATATTGGAGTTTCTAATTTTAATGCAGTGCTAATAATGGATTTGTTGAAATATGCACGTATCAAACCATCAGTGCTACAAATAGAACACCATCCATACTTGACACAAGAACAATTGGTAGATTATGCAAAATCTCAAGGTTTGGCAGTGACTGCCTACTCACCTCTAGGTTCAAGTAATTATGCGGTGACAAGTGACGTGGGTATTCCTCACATTTTAAATGCACCTAAATTGGAACAGGTTGCAAATAAATATAGTAAATCTACTGCTCAGGTTTGTCTTCTTTTCATATATTTAAAATGAGTAGTGATAGTTGCAGCAGTGATAATAATAATAAAATATAATTCTTGTTATTATAATGATAGGTGGCACTTCGTTGGGCAATTCAACGTAACATTGCAGTTATACCAAAATCAATCAATCAAAATAGAATTGTTGAAAATTCTAAAATTTTAGATTTTACTTTGACTGATGAAGAAATTAAAGAAATCTCTTCGTTAAATAGAAATATAAGATCTATTGATCCTGGTACATTGTTTGGGATTCCTATTTTTGCTTGAATAATCTACTTTTGAGGTTGGAAAGTATGAGTAAATGAATGAAAATTTTTTTTTTATTTGCTTAATTGTAGTAGTAATAATATAGTGTAGAAAGAGTTTATTTAAAATAAGAAAATTTTGTAAATAAATATATTTAATAATATTAAATAAAATTTCAAAGTGTTTTTTTCTTTAATCAAGTCTAATTTCACCATTGTTAATGACATCTTGTGCAATAGCATTAACTTCATCCTACCATTTATACGTGTAATTATTTTCAATTTTTTATGTCTATTGATATAAAGAATATTGTAAATCCGAAATTGCTTGCCAAAATTGATTTTTTCAAAAACTATTTCAGCTAACATCCTTAGTTCCAAATTCCTATAATTCTAAAGATTCTGGATTCTCAAGAAATCCTGTTACTTATCTCCAATAGTAATTCATATTAAATCGTTACTGCAAACAAATTCAACTTAATTAGTAGCTTGTAAGAAAAAAATCCGTTCTAGAATTAGCAATTTACTTGGAACCAATTTGGAACTGTCCCATCCCTATTTATTGTGCACCATATCTAATTCGGCACGCCAATCAAATTAATTTGACCAATCAGAAAACGAACGTAGATCAAATTTTATCACGTGATTTATAAAACGATTTTTTTTTAACGACGTAGTCTTCCCGTGACATTTTATTTGGTTGAACTTTACATATGAATTAACAAAAAAAATAAAAATAAAACAATTTTTAAATGCCCACCCCCCTATAATACTAAAAGTATCCGTTTGAAGCGACTTGACGTCGTACACATCTCTACGTGGCCTCTTTTCTTAAAAAAAAGAAGCACCCCATTTCATTGATCATGTAAGACATCTTGTCAAGGAACGTCGAAAAACTCACCATTGTTTCTTGAAATTTGTGTTGTTACTTGTTATCTTTTTATTGAAAACAATAAATATTATTTTTGTTGTTGAATCTTTTATTAGTAAAAGTTTTTGTTTCGTATTCTTACAAAAAACTGACTTCTTCATCGACTCACTTCCCTTCCCGCAACTATTCTTGAAGTTGGAGGTTTGTCTTTTTTAATATTTATACGAAGTTGTTTTAATGTTTTCTAGAAAAATTTGACTCTTTTTTTGGCTGCGCCCCGGTGGGAAGAGATTTTTAGTATTTGGAAGTTTTTTTTTTGTCAACGATTTTTTCTTAATAATTCAACAACTGGTTTAAGATATAAAATAGAACATTAAATTAATAAATGATTGTTATATCATGCTAACATTGTATCATTATTGTCCTTTTGATTTTTTTAAGTGATTTTTTTGATTATTTACTGACATTTTGCTTTGTCTACTGTTGGAATTAAATATTTTACCTGAAAGATCATTAATATTAAAATTTTTCGACAAAAGGCGCAGCATTTGATGTCTTTAGAATAAAAATAGAATTAAAATTTGTGTGTCGCCGATCATGTATATAAATCTATTATAGCAGAGATAACAAAATTGACGAAAATCTGTTCAACTGCATCCAAGTTCACCCAAAAAAAAATTTTTATATTTGGTGGAATAAACTTTTTGTTTTTTGTAACTTTTATATTGGGCATCTCCCTAAAGCTTAGTTTCTTACATTTAATATAAATATGTTAGTCATTTTTTGATTATTAAAGCACTTATTATTCATTATAAATAATATAATAATATATAATATACACTAGAATAAATCTAACTTTGGGAGATAAAAAGTACTATATTTTTATATGTGTTGATGGTTTTAATTATAGGAAGCTGGGCTGGGAAATTAAGTTTTGAATTTTGTGATACAGTATCACAGACAATTTACAGGTGAAGTAAAACCTTTGCTTTATACCAAAGCAAACAAACAAAACCAAATCAAAACCTCAATCTATATCACTTTGATAATTAAATGGACAATTAAATCCTATTGTTTAATTTCCGACCACAAAAGTGCTTATTTATTAAACAAAAAAGAATGGTTTCTTTCCTGTAGTGAACTCCCATATTTCCATACCAACATTGTAAATGCCTGATCCTTTTGTATATATTTTTTTTTTGATAATACTCAGGTGCTAAGTATGGAATTACTCCAATATTTTACTTTTTCATTTGTCATTTGTTAACAACCCTAAATCTCCTATTCTGCTATTATGATGACCATATGAAAAAAAACTTTGTTATGAATTAACATTTAATATTTAATAATAATAGATATTATACTAAATCACTTCTTTTATTAGAATTATATAATTTCAATACGACATTTTTTACTTTACCATTAACCAAGTATTCAATATCATTAAGCTGGTTATATGGAATCCAATTATATATCAACACTATATCATGCATATTTTTACAATTATAAAAAAATCTAATGATCTCTTTATTCCACATTTATCAGTTAATTAATTATTTTTTTTCTTTGCAACCATCACATAACATTATATTTTTTTTATTATCTATGAACTAATTTAGCTTGCCCATTGATCCGTTAAAAAAAAATCAAAATAAATTTTCTGGAGATTCTTTACAATTGGCATGATTTTCCATTAACTTTAATAATCAATCAATTCATTTAATAAAATACTAATGTCATTTCTATAAACTCTGTTTCATTTGATCTACATAATGGCGATTCATTTAGCGTTTCGAATGAGTTATTGTTTTCTTTAATGCTTAACTCCTGAAGTAGAAAACAATCGCAGTTTAACGTTGGTAAATTTGGTATTTTTCACCAGCATTTCATCTTTGATAGTAGAGTTAAATTCATGGGTCTGGAGATGGTGAATTATATGAATTGATATATTATCAAAAGTTGCTCTTTAATTTCATAATAATAATATTAATAGATGATATCAGTCTTTTTCTGTAAAAGGATAAGATCTTTAATAATAAAGAGAGTCATCAATTATGAAATTATTGAATAAAATTGGCATTGGTTTCTGAAGGATCATCAATAGTAATAATCAATTCAGGGAAGAGAGTAGGACTCCAAATGAATCTATTTGATTGTCTCAGTTCAATTGAATTTAAAAGACTGAGTTCAATTCAGTCATTTATCACAGAACAACAAATCGTAAAGGTTCAAGACGAATCCTTATCAGAGTTTGAACGCGATCAAGTTATTTTAACCCATAGAGGAACTTTTCCTTAATATACAGGTCGTGTTTACTTGGCAAGCTTTTGGATATTTCGTGGTCAAATTTTTACAAGGTATTTGTTTTTCTACAATCTTTAGAAGTCTGTCAATATTAGAAATATTCTGTTAGTCGGAAAATCAAATGATTCGATTTGATTAAATCTGGACTTGATTTGAATCTTAATCACATCATGAATCAATTAAAATTACTAGATGATTAGTTAATTCTTTATTTATTTACAAAAAATTGGTCATAGACATTAAGACGTGATCAAATTATTTAGACATGTCGAAATTATTAGATAAAAACTTATCAAGTAAAAAATATAATTAATAACCTTACTCGGTGATTAGTTGTAGCATCCTCATCTTTGACATTATAAATTCCAATTCCTTTCTTCTGATAACCTTCCAGCTTCACTAACCTGATATATATATCCTAATTCTTAATAGTTTCCATTATTTAATTCCATTAATTCTGGATTATTCCTTCGCTGATTGTAAACCATGACAAAATTGAAATACATGCAGAGCGAAGCATAATTGAATATAATTTTACTGTCGCTTTTTATAAATAACCACCAGACTTTGATAGTATTTGCCATCATTTGCATGATGAAATTGCATCATTATATGGAAGGTTCTTTTTTTCACGATATAAATATGTTTGGCTTATATAGAAGCCTTGTTGAATTTGTTTTCCATGTTCATGATTCAATAGCAAATACTATTAAATCCCATATCTTAATATAATTCATCACTTATCAAAAATACCAATACAAATGATTTTTAAAGATCAGGTCTGTATATTATATTAGATAAATATTTAATTTGCTAATCTAGGTAGCTATTTATTATCAGAGATACAATCTTTTGCGAATGAATAACGGTTACTAGTTCGTAACGAGATTAGTACGAAAAAGGAATGAATGGTCTAACTTGTAGATTTTCCCAGATAGGTTTGGTAAATGTTGTTAAAGAAAGGCGCTTATAAACGATACCTCTTAAAATCTTTGGATAGTAATAGTATTATTACAAAAGAACGTGTAGCGGTACGTTTTTGCTTCGGTTTTTTACTCGCCTTTTGTAAGTAATTCCATGCGGACTTCCAACTGATTGTTGTCGTTAATATTTAAAATTGCCATCATATAGCTAGTGCCATCTATTACTGCCATATTCACTATGATAAAATCATAGCAATACTATTATTATTGTTCTAAAATTTAATTATTTTATTTATAAACACGTAATGATATTATTATTCCTATAATATATGAAAGGCCTGTTTTAATTATATGCCGCCTATTTTGGTTGTTATTGGATGATCATGTGAATAATTACTTTGTATTAATAATTCCGAATCAGTTAAATGATTATTCTAAAGCGACATTTTCATTCAAATCACTGCGCATCAATTGGCTTGCATCATGTGGTCAAGAACAGTGATAAATAACCAGCCAAAACTCGTATTCAAAAATATTTCGCCCTAAACTTGATTCTTAAAATAATACTCGGAAAATATCAGCGATTATAAAAGGTTAGAACGTAGAGATCCGTAAAAAATGAAATAAATGAAGGAATTGAAAAGTATAAAGTAATAGTTTAAGTAGAGTTCATGGAAGAAGCAGTGATAGAGTGAAAAAAGAAACCCTTTTTTGCACTACTAAAAATGTAAAAGATAATTGTAATTAGTAAAAAAGAACACGAAAAAAAAATCATTTCATCATTAAAATATTCGAATACAAAAAAGGCAGTGACAAACCGAACAAAGAAAAAGAATGAAAGCATATTACAAAAATCAATAAATGCTTATCTTTGTTAACAACGAGTTCCAACATTTTATTAACAATGATCACACAGTAGAGTTTTGACAGGTATTTTCTTTATTCATGTTGTGTGTGAAATTGAAATTATGTATAATAATGTTAAAGGAACATTCGGTAAAAGTTGGAATATTACTAATTGGGCGAGCTGATGATTTAAACTGTGTCGTAACGTTGAACAAATAAATATAACATGATTCAATCCAGTTACTAGCAGACATTCGTGACAAAAATGAAAGATAAAACATAAATAAAAATATGGCGTACAAAGACACATTTAATATATTTAGACAAAATATGATCTGACGGGCATTGAAAGTAAAAGTGAAATTTTAAAGGTTTGAGAGATCTATGCTATGGTTGTTTGTCATAATTATTTTGGAGAAAAAATGATTATAGAATTCTCAATATTAATATGCCATTTAACTTAAAGAGTTCAAATGATTCTGGAGACAATACAAAAGCTGATTATGGCATTATATATAGATATGTTGACGATCATTATTAAGACAACTATAATCTATAGATGTCAGGATTATGTGGCATTGTTTTTTTTTCTCTAAACATTGATGTGATTTAAGAATTAATGGATGTTAACATTATTCCTGGTCCAACTCTAAATAAAAAAAAAAATATAACAATCTTGTTATACAATAACAATCCTAGTGAAGATAGTAAACATGATTTTATGGCGGTGATGAATAATACTATTTTTAAATGAAATGGTCAAAAGGGAAGGCATTGATTACTGTGTAATAAAAATTTTAAGATTAATATTTTCCTGCACAAATTTGAATTGTAAAATAATTATAGTAAAGCCGCAAGCATAATGCATTAATATTAATATTAATAATATATGAGTAAATGTAAATGATTAACATTAAGAATTATAAACAAATCTCACATTAAATAATCATCTTATTTTTAGAATTTTATTTGTTTTATTTACATTTTATAACAAGTATTTACTTGATACTGGTTTGTTTTGATTTATTTTTTTGTGGTTTTCAAATAAATATAAATAGCATGCTTGCTATAGTTAATTGAATTAACTGACGGACAGATTAAAAAAAAAAATTTTTAATAAAATTATTAAAAAAAAAAATTATATAATGACAACAGGAAATTTTACAATCGAAGATTTAGCAAAGAATCTAATTCATAAACTTGATCGTGGTAATATATTCCCACCGTATTATGACGACCCAGAAATTTTTATTGCAAAGCTTTTAGCTACAACCACTTCTTATCCCACCGTATCTTCTACGCCCACCACCGACACCAACTCGCCAACACCCACCACACTCATAACCAAATTAAAGCCCACAAATTTAATGTTTCGAAAACCAAAACGACCACAAAATGCATTTTTATTATGTAGAAAAAATGTACATCAAGAAGCGAAACGAATTGGATCGTGTAATATGAGAATAATCAGCAAGGTGACTGGAATAATGTGGAAGAATGCCTCAGTGCAAGAGAAGCAAGTTTATGAAAGATTGGCTGATAGAGTTAACGAGATACAAAATCAACGATATCTTCGTGAAACTAATAAAATTCAACAACAACATCAAAAAGCAAAATTACGGGTGCAATTCCAATTACAACAAAATCATCAGTCGACGCAACTGCAACCCCTTCAAAACCAAAGATCGATTTACAATAATAGCAATGATGGTTTCATTATTACAAATAATAATGATAATACTGTTTTGTTAAGCGATTTTGATTTTTCTGCAATAAGTGATCAACAATTATTTGAATTGGATTCAACTGCAGTTCCTAATGGTATCATCATTACAAATAATGATGGTAATTACGATAATAACATCCATTCAATATACAACAATCCACTAAGTAATTATATTCCCGCAACAACGACAACCACCGCTGATAAATACTAAAAAACAGGTTTGAATTTTGAAATTTAAATTTTAAATTCAGAAATTCAAAAAGAAATACCGAGTAATTCATAACCCTAAAATATATATAACCCCATTACACAATTTATGTTTATTTGTATTTTATTTACTTTTTACGCGATTATGATTTATTGATTGGTTCGTATATATATTCTCAAAAAAAAAAAAAATCTGGTTTAAATCAAGTTAAGATTTTATTATTATTTATTTATATGATGATAATTGTCATGATTGTTAAATGGAGATAAATGATATGTTGGCCGAGAGGTTTAATTTATTAAAATAGCAATAAACAATTATCATCGCTCGCTTATTTACCAATTAGTATCAACACTGCCGTTATTATACATATTATTTAAGAACGCGCGCATTTATGGTTAGATATTAGATATTTATTTATTATTTATTTATTTATTTATTTATTTATTTATACTTTATTTTTTTTTTTAATTTGTAAAAATCCTTTTGTTTAAATTAACAGTCGATAAGATGTGATTACTTATCGTTAATATAATTAATAAAAAAAAAATTTTTTTTCTAGAATTCGCTAGTTCCTTATTTGTTTAGATTTCAAGATAAGATAATTAAAAAAAATGAATTGAATTTTTGTTTTCCAGAAATAGTAGTTTAATTCTTTTAAAAAATTAATTTCTTGCTTTTACATCCAAGCCTGCCATATTAATTATCCATTTTAGATTTGTTGTATATATGTTATTTGTACGTGTAACGACGACACTTGTTCAATTAAATTATCTCGGTCATGTGACTTTTCAGCGGTCCAAATTAGAATATATATTTTAATATTTTTTTTTAATAATATATTGTATGTTAATAAGTGAATCCCTATGATACTCCCAAATGAGTATTTACATACATATAAATACCATGCTATCTTTTGACAGCAAAAGCTCCAATCCTCTCCAGGATAAACCTCAAAAACATGTGCTAACTCGCTCCAGTTGCCAGGAAGTCTTTTGCCCCCTTCCGATTTGGGTCAATAAGTCCAACCCTTAAACCCAGTCATTTCCCTATCGTTCTATCAACTAGAAGCTGTGTTCGTCTTGAAGACCTCTTCCCTTAATCCTGAACTAATGTTGTGATCCGAAACTCTTTTGGAATTTCCAAAACAGTTTGTATAGTGATTTTAAAGGCTATCTGCAATTTTTACTTGGTAAGTTTTGATTGTGATAGTCGCAAATATCAATGAAAATAGAATTTCAAAGTACATGGACGAAACTTCACTCAAGGCAATTGAAGGTAAGGAAAAGGAGAACATCCGTGTGTCTATAATTGGATAATATAACTGAAATTAGGCAAGTGTTAAAGCAGAGACCAAAAAATTTTTTTTAGTTGATAGCCTGAATTTGTCTCCAACTATTATATTGACTGTGTGTTTATCTGCTAATCAGGTAGAATAATTTTAACGAATGATAGAGACTCAAAGCATGATAAAGCCTTTTTAATTTGCAGGCAAAGAGGTAGTGTTCGCACGTGGAGAAAGTTACCTGAAAAAGAAGCCTGGATATGGCAAGTTTGGTTTTATGGTATTTTCAAAATTCACCGGTATTTTTTTTTATATATATTATGAAACAGTTGGATGTTTAGAGGTCCTTTGATGAAATAATTTGCAAGATTATGAGCGTGAAAAACCAATTTTGATTTTCAGCAGCATAATTCTTTTAAAATTTTGCATTTTAACAGAATTGAATCCAAAGCCAACGTAAGTAATGAATTATCATGCTTTGAGATTAATTAAGTTCTTTTCTTAATTTTGTTTTTAGATAAATCCATTTACGAGACATTGAAAATCTATCTCGTCAAGTTTCCCGACGAGGTGGAAGTGCAGAAATTTAACTATAATTGCAATACAACTATTTACATGTTGCAAATATCGTTGATAAATCTATCTGTATAAAATCATTATACATTTGAAACAGTTTCATTCACAAGTATGTTTACAAATAAACCTTCTATCCATATCATTTATAATTCATGTTAATTTCCATACTCATTTACACGTATACCTTTGCTTTTTATTTTACTATATTTGATTCCAATTCACGACCAAATCTTGGATACGGTCTGGTAGTATTCCCTTATGCCTTGCCTAAGACTTGTCATCGGCAGGTTTATTGGAAGTGGATGTCTTCTGGGGGTGTTAGACAAAATGTGGATTTCGTCAATTAATTCATCATGTATATATCTTAAAATTTCTTCTTAACTAACTTTGTCATGAACCTGTTACAAATCAATAGTTTTTTTCTTCTAGTTGATAAGGAATGATATGCTTCTCTGGATTTAGTAGAACATTTCATCAATAATGGACTTTTTTGTAAGCATCATATTTATAAGTTTATAAATCTATTAACAACTTTTTTTCTTATATATATATATACATATTAATATTTTTTTTTAACAATTTTAAATTAATTGTCTAATTGATTTGACATAAGAATAAATGAAAAGTCTCGCTCAGTTTAATGACACTTGCTAATCATTGAAATTTTAGAACATTGGGTAAATTAATTGCCGAGATGTCTAATTCATTTTTTTAAAGAAAATTTAAAATGCCCAAAGCTACTCAATTAACTTAATTTGGATGTGGAGAAATTATTGGCTTAAAGGACCAAATTTTCATATAGAGAAACCAAATAGATCCAAAAGTGCAGTCGAAACACCACCATTGAAAATTTATATCAGAAAAAATGAGATAGGACTATTCAGTTTATTAAAATAGGAATGGTTTAATATTAGTCCAGAAAGAATCAATAGATTAATAAATGGTATGTCATAAAGGGTGTGATAAAATAAAGGAATAAAATAAAGGAAACGTGACAAGATATTGATTTTTTTTTTAAATAAAATACAATAAATTTAAAAATAGTTTATTGTTTTGTAAAATTTTCTACGGTTTTATTTCTATTTTTTTTTCTCATCAATTAATTTACCAAATGCTCTAAAATTTTAAAAGTAACTAGATTTAAACGTGGGACGCATTTTTTACTTATACTACATTTTTTTTTGGTTTGTTTATATGTGGTGAAACTTCGGTATATTATATTATTTGATATGAAGATTAATTTTTACTTAATAAGCAATAAAAAAAAAAAAATCAAATTGATATCACTTGTGAGATGTTAATCTTCATAGACATTAAAATTTTTGATAAAAGTTGTCAGATTTAACTGCAAGTAAAGATATGAAGTTTCAAAAGTAAATTCAGTAAAACCATGGGTTTTCCAGAACAATAGTAACAAAGAAATACATATTTTGAAGAGAGAGAGGTAGGTAATTTTGAATCAAAAAGCCATTAAAGATAACTATAAATCAACCAAACAGATTAAAGACAAAATTTAATATTAATTATAGTGTAATGGTAGCTATTCATGAATGACAAAAAATTATTGGTACCTCAATAAGAAACACTGGCAATTAGAAAAAAGAAAAAACATTATTTGATATTTCACGTGACATGCTATAGAAGTAAGCATAAGCTATATTTATTTGTAGAAAAGACCATTTACTAACATGTTTACAAAATTTCATTACTAAAATGTTCTTTAATATTAGAAAAGGTCGCTCCACTTTTGAGTGGATATATAAAAAATAACTTTCCAGTTAATTAATCCATATATTAACGTGGATTTTATATTTAAAAAATCATTTCCATCTTTACTGGACAAAATTATATTTAACTTATGCTTGTTATAACTGAATTAATGACATTTGTCAACACCACAATATGAATTCATTATTATTATCATTATAAGTTGATTTCTGATTATAATGCGTACATCATATAGCATTAGATCAGGGTCGGCAAATTGACCGGTCCATTGAGAACTGATGGACTTTGGGTTGGTCCATTGCAATTAATAAAATACTAAATATATCAAAAAGAGAAATAAAGAAACTTTAAAGTATATAAATACTGTATGATTGATTTTGGACTGAAATTGACGTATCAAAAAAATTTGCAACATTAAAATTCTTTAAATTTTATAAAACAATGTTGTTGTTTGAATTGGCTATTACCTGTGTGATCGATTCGATCATTAACACCGCCAAAGGAACAAAATTAATTATTTCGCAATAAAAGCTATTTGTTTGTTGTTTTTTGATTTTAATATTTATGCATAGTAATATTTTCTATTCGTAATACAGGTTTCGCTTTTATTCGAATTATTCGTTTTTATTTGTTTTATTCACTTTGTTCGTTTTATTTGTTTTATTCACTTTTATTCACATTGTTCGATTTTATTAACTTTGTTCGTTTTGTTCGTTTTATTTGTTTTATTCATTTTGTTCATTTTATTCATTTTCATTTGTTTTGTTTGAATTATTGATTTTATTTGTTTTATTCATTTACCTGAACTTGCCAAGGCGTTCAAAGATAGAATCTTGACATTTACAACAGATAGTAATGGTGATGGTGATACTGCTCAATGTGAAATATGACAAATCCATTGATATCTGGTCATTTGGAATAGTAAAATTACCATATGTTGTCACAAAAACATCCTTGAAATGTTAATAATCACGCTAAAATTAGAGGAGCTTTATGACAATATAATGAAAGGTGACCTAGATTTTTCTACATTTAAATCAATTAGAATTGATATTGATGAAATTGAAACTGTTATGATTTTGTTCTTAAATTGTGTCAGGTGTAAGGTTGTGTTGGTCTTTGAACTGGTCCTTTGAACCACGGTCCTAAATTTTAGGACCAGCTGATCTTTCTTAATAAAGAAATTTTGAACAATAAAAATTATCTCACCGGTTTTATCTTTTTTTGGGGGAATTTTTATTATTATTATGTTTTATCGAAGCCAATTTTCAAAACTAGTGGTGTTACTACTTTATGAAGACATCCGAAACAAATACATTCAATTATTGCACTCAAAATACAAAGAACTTTACATCAATATCGTAATGACCTTCATAATTCAATTGACCAGAAAAAACGTGATGAAGCTGTGATAAATTGGATAATTTGTGATTTATAGTCAATTAGTGTAGCAGAGAAAGAGGAATGGTGTACAATGATTGCTGCTTTTGATCCTACCATATTTTTATTTATTTATATTTTTATTAATAAATTTGGTGGAACAAAAGGAACAAAAATAGTTAAATTCGTTATTATTTGTTGCCAAAGATTTCTAGGTAATAAGCAGGATAAATTTGTAGAATAAAATAATTGATGAGTGTAATTAAAAAGTTAATTTGAACCTGGTCATAAAATGTAAGATAATCAAGATTGACCAAAAAGCTACTTTGCAATATGTGATTCACATCAAAATCCTTTAAACAATCTTTAACCAGTCCCAAAGACTGCATCTAAAGACCAGTCTTTTGGGACCGAAACCAGACCGGACCAGACCAACACAACCCTAGTCAGGTAGATAAAGATCAAAGAATGACATCTGATCAAGCCTTGCAAGCATACAATATTTAATCAATTTATATGGATGGAGGAATAATAATAATAATTTTTAATTATTTTACACATCTGGATGTTTTGTGTTGTGTCTGGTGAACTTGGTGATCAAATACATGTTCTAGTCGAACTGAATACATTGTATTGAATGTAATTCTTTTCACATGAAGTCTGTATATATAATAAAAAAATTTTTAGACCTATTTCACCATATAAGGTTTAATTGGATTGGTTAATTGAACATTATTAATATATCATTTAAAGGCAATGACAATATTTTTGGATGTGAATTAAATCAAATATTAATAGTTGCCTATCATTTTTTTTTATTACTATTAATATTATAATAGTAGCAATTCTAGATTGTGATTATAAATTATTTACTTCCTCCTTCGCTTCCTCCTTATTTATGATCAAATTTCTTTCCTATTGATGATAATTTTAAAACTCAAGTATTAACATGCTAGACCTTTATGTCTTTAAATGAATTGAGATAAATAATTGATGCCATGGAAAAGCCCAATTAACAACCCACAAAAAAGCTCGCTTTCGAAAGTAAGCATTTTTTAAATGCTATTGATGAAAATTTGAAATTTTTTTTTATTATTTGCTTTATAAATAAAATTGTTTAGCAATGATTATTAAAGGATTTGTAATTTTGGGGTGAGGTTTTTTTGCCTGAAGATGAGTTAATTGGTAATGCTTTTATAATGTCCAAACACAAGGTGGAATATGAACGATTATCAAAATAGAATGGTTGATGTAGTGTTTATTTACATTGTCTGATAAAATCAAGCATATATAAACAAAGGTTCACAAAAATTGTCTTAAAATGTGTACCATTATGTTCTTATAAATATTGAAGACTTTTTCTTATATATCAACATGAAACTATCTGTGGTATGTATCTTTATTTAATTTGGTTTTTTTTTTTTTTTGCTTATTTCATTATCTTTTTGTCTGGCAATATCTAACTCGTCGAAAATTATTTGTTTTTGGAATGTGGAAACTCCACTAAATTTTGCCCCACATGATTTACGATATATTAAATTGGGATCATCGACGTGCAGTAGTAACGGAAAATAAATTTTATTTAGTTTCTATTATATTCACCACAGATTTTTTTTCAAATGTACGTAAGATCAACCAAGCAAATAGAAATACTTGATCATTCTTTTTTCAAATCTCTTGTTACTAGATTTTTTTGAATGTAGATATTTTCAGTTTGATCTTCAAATTGTGAAGCATATCTTGCTGCAACAAAAAAGAAATCACTTAATCTGGAAAAAAATTTTTTTTTATTAAAAAAACTATTTAGTCACCACTATTATTATCATCATAATTATAATTTTATTTTTAAAAAAATACCTACCTGTTTAAATATTTTCCAACAGTTTGATCCGCTGTACCAGATACAACTAATGGTGTTGTGACACGTTCAGCTCTTCTGCAAATCTATATTATTATCATATTCAACATTATATATATATATGTATATATAATGATAAATTAAGAGATGGTTTACCGACCGATCTACATTGATGTAGAAACACAGCACTCTCGCTTCCAGATGGCAAAATAAAATACTTTAAAGGTGGAAGCTCCTAAGAAATTAAAACCAAAACATTAGCATGAATGGTAAAATTAAACATATACATACTATGCAATGTATAAGTTTTGATACTTGCTGAATCATATTTATCAATCAAAGACTCCAATTTAGCAATATTTTCTTCTTCGAAAGATGTGTAATCTATTATATTATTATTATAATTGCCGCAATCATTATTATTGTTGTTGTTGTTGTTGTTGTTGTTGTTGTTGTTGTTGTTGTTATTTATTCAATTCAATTTGTTAGTTCCAAAATATTTATTACTTTCCAAATTAAAATTAAAAGGCAATATAATCAATTAACTTATTTTGGAATCATTTGAATTGCTTCTTGGTGTTGCAACATTTGACATAACTTGAATCAAGTTACATTGTATCTCAATTAAATTTTCTATCAATGAATTTCCTGCTTTTTTACAATAAAAATTTGCAATTCTAAATGTTTTTTATAAAAAAAAAAAAAAAAAACAAAACATTAATTTAAAAATAATTATCAACTATTTTTATTTAATTTCCTACACACCCACCCTCTTTATAATTACCCTATACTAGAATTTAATTCATCGATAGTTCCTAACGCATCAAATATAGGATCATCTTTAGATCTTCGTTCACCATTATAAAGACTTGATGTTCCTGTATATTCATATCAAATCATTTTTTGTTAATTTAAAACTAAGAAAAAATATAAATCGTGTATAGCAACTTACCTTTGTCACCAGTTCTGGTGTAAACTTTGGATTTTTTGGGTTTGTCACTAAAATAAACAATAAATGAATGAATGAATGCTATTATTGAATGCAAGATAATTGATTGAATAACATGGCTGTATCAAGATGTTTTTTTTTCCCCCACTCTCTTTCTCTCTATTTTTTTTTTTTTTTGATGTAACTTTTTTTAAAGTGTTATTTGCTTTGTCGTTGTTAGAAAATCTTTTTTGAGTATAGTAGTAATTGTCTCTAACCTTTGAGAACCAATCATTCTTTGTTGATCTTTCAAAAAAGTTGATTTTTTTGTTGACGATAATGTTAATGCTAATGGTTTCAAATGTGATTGTGGTTGTGATAATAATATTAATGGTGGTGGTCTCATAAAGACCAATGAAGAAGTCTGGTTGTTGTTGGTTGTCGATGTAATAATTCGCGAGATAAAATATGAAATTCTTCTACAACTGCCATTATAACTACAACTACCATCAATGCTATTTTTACTAAAAATCTTATTAATATTATGAAATAACATACTTTACAATTTCTGACATAATGTGGAGATTGATTAAAAATAAAATTAATTTGTGTAACTTTACACATGATATAGATTTTTTTTTTTAATTTTGAATTCCTATTTTGTTTTTTTTTAATTCTTTAATATAACATAATTTATAAACTACCAAGTTTCAACGACTTTTTCTTTTTTTTTCTTTCTTTGAATGTATTGTCCATTATAATAATTATTTTTTATATTACTACTACTACTACTACTTCTTACAATAACAGCGATAGTAACAATAATAACAATAACAATAATTAATGTCTTATCCAACGTTATACAATTCAGTTGCAAAAAGTAAAGCCCTTTATAAATTTTTATTACCGGTAGCAAATACATATGCAAATTTATCTGGATATAGACAACTTGGTAATGTAATAAATGTATAAAAATCCAATCTTTATTAACTCCATTTACTCGCCCAACTCATTCACTCCATGCAATTGTAATAAACAACAACAACAACAATAACACGATCTATTTTTATATAGGTTTAAGGTACGATGATCTCTTAATGGACGAGAATGAAACAGTTCAAGAAGCTTTAAAGCGCGTTCCTGAGAATGAATTTAATCTTCGAACTTTACGAATTCGTAATGCGTATCAGTTATCTACTAATCATAAAATTCTACCAAAAGATAAATGGGTCAAATCTGAAGATGTATGCGTTTTTATTTTTTTATTTTTTATTTTTTTTGATTGAGTGATGGATGATAAGAGTGAGAAAATCATAGGCGGTCAGTCATATTTGAAGGAAATGATATAATTACTAATATTTTGAAATTATATAATTTATATAGGATGTTAGATATTTGTCACCATATGTTGAACAAGTTGCGGCAGAAGAAAGTGAGCGAGAAATGTTTGATGCTCTTAAAATTGTTGGAAAAGATGGAAAACCATCTATTAATTTTGAATAATAAATAAAATAAAATAAAATAATTCATCTTTGAAAAATAAAAAAATATTAATTATTTATTATATTATTATTCTCTATAAGAATGTCCTTTATTATTATATGTTTACAATAACAACAATAATAATAACGTAAATGAAAAATTATATTTTAATTTTTGCTTTGCTTTAATAGCATATACATTTTTCACCAAAAAAAAAAAAAAAAAAGGAAAAAAATAAATATTCAAAATTTTTTACAAAATGAAATGAAAAAAAAATATATATATAAATTGCGTGTGAAAATGCATCTAAAAAAATTGTGTATATAGTGTATGTACTTGTTATTTTTGGTTACTTTTTTTTTTTATTTTTTCTTTACTCCACCACACTCTTCTCTTGTCTTATTTTCATCATCCTCTCTCATCTTCTCTTCCGACTCATCCATCAACTTATTAATTAACATTTAAATAATCGACATTTAAATGAAAAAAAAAATTAACACATTTCAGCTAAACCAAAATTTTGTTGCGTGCCAACACTAATATCATTAGTTTTTTATTTATCAGAAGAAGATGGTGAAGTTGAATTAAGTTTCCTTATTAATATTTCGTAGATTAATATAGTCAAAGCACTAGAAGGAACGGTTCTAAGCAAATTTGTTGACATCCCTTTATAGAAAGCCATCAAACCTTCCTCTTGGTTAATCAATTTAATTGCATTCCAAACACCTTTGTATTTGAATGGCTTGACAGTTTGATTTTGTAGTCTGGTACGAACCACCTCATGTGGATAAGTGGCTAATGATGCAGCCATTTTTGAGGCTGATGAAGCGGATAAGATTGATAGATTGGATAAATGTTCTTGATCAGGCGATTCTGTATAATTGTTTTCAGAACCAATTATTTGATTAATTTTTTTTTTTGTTTAATATATTATTCATTATTTTTATTTCAATTAATTGATTCCTTCTTTCATCCATTTCATTAATAATATACTTACTTAACCAGACTTTCATTTTTTCATATAATGGAAATTGTACTGCTACATGACTAACACCCATTAAAGAAGGACCAAGACCTTTGTAAAATCCTTTGATGCCTTCATGAGCATAAATTGTAGCAAATGCATGAATTGTGTTTTTGTATCTGTATGATGTCATATGATTTTGTGTCTAATTATTCATTTCAAAGATTAGAATAATTTATACATTAAAATCGCGTAGTGATTTGTAGAATTCCTTAATAATTATTTCTTCAAATATATATATATATGTATGTATATGTATTTTTAAAGGAAAGAAATGTAAAAATACCATAAATCTTGTTTTAATCACCCATAATGGATTAGTGGCCACGGTACTTGTAGCCCCTGCGCCCATAGCAGCCAGTATATGTACGACCCATTGATTGTCATCTAGTCGTTTATCTTGTGATGGAGGAGAAAAAAAAAATACGATAAAATAAAATTACTCACACTCTTGATCAATAAACAATGATATTATTATATTATAAATTCTAATTTATTATTATTATTGCTATGATTATTTTGATGATTAAGAAAAATTATTTGTAATAAACAATAATATTTCTCGCGTACTTGATTATTCTGAAGTGGTTAGTGATTTGATTTGGTGATTGGTTGATTGGTTGATTTGGTTGATTTGGTTGGTTGATTGGTTGATTTGATTGATTGATTGGTTGGATTGATTGATTGATTTAACTTGATTGATTTGATTGATTGACGGTTACCGACATTTATTCATATATCATCAATAAATATCACATTTATTTAACCACCAAAAACTTCAAGTTTTTTTTCCGCCAAATTTCACCCATTCATTCACCCAATTCACTCTTCCTCCTCCATTGTATCGTTTCACTTTTTCCTACTTTTAAATTTCAATATTTTTATATTCTTACCTGCATTCTCTGATAAAGCTAGTTTAAAATAATCATATGCAGAAAAATAAATTGCCCAAGTTGGTAAATATCCATACATTGTGGGGCCAAGACCGCGATATAATCCTTGAATGCCTTCTTCCAGCCATATTCTTTTTAATGCACCTAGACGATACATTAAAATACAACTATGTGAATTTTGCAACTGCATAAAAAAGGAGTTGATTGTAAAAGCAAATATATACTTCCAGTTCCGTGATACAAAGGTACACCTGGTCTGTGGTCGAGAGAGATTTTTCCTTGATTTTGTAACCTTGTTTTTACCACATCTAGAGGACACGTAACCACTGAACTTACACCTCCTGCAATAGCGCCTGCTATTGAGTGTTTTAATTTTTCGAATTCAGCTGGTATAATCATATTAATATTAAGATTACTATATCTATCGTTTGTTGTCGAATTGGAAGAAGAAGTGGAAGTGGAAGAAGGGGGAGAGGAGGAACTATTCATGTAAGGATTATTAACAGAAATTTTCATTTTTTTAATTTATGCTTTGTAATTTTATTGTTTATATATATTTTTTGTGTAAGAGTAAGAGAAGAAATTGGAAAATATTTTTTATGTGGGAAATATTATTATAATAAATAAACACACATTATATTAAAATTGTAATTAACAATAATAATGATAGAAAGAATAAATTTAATATGTACATAAATATAAAGTTTATAACAAAGACCACGTGGTAGCAATTAAATTTTTATTGTTGATTTGATATATTGAGAAAAGAGTGGAAGGAAGTGAAAGATGGAATTTTGATGATGAATTTTAAGTTATCTTAAAAAAAAGATCAAATGATCTCTTACACTTATTAAATTGGTTACCATATACATACATATATTATGATGAATTACTAATATTTATTAAGACTTAGAATTTGTAAAAATACTTGTTAATAAACAAATATTAAATCATTATTGGATATTTCTGGCAAGATTGATTAATTAAAGTTTTTTTATAGTTTATCGGAAAGGCAACAATGCTTATCTCTTAATATTAAACAAATAATAATAATCAGTGGGAAAATTAGAATTTTAATTTTTGTTGTCTAATAATAATTATTTTTAGTTGACCAATTAAAAATCGTTGGATAAAATCAATAGCGTCACATAAATCTTTTATCCCGCCTTTTTACCAAATATTTTATGTGCCCTTGACTCGAGAGTTTGAAAAAAGTTTATTTGGAAAGCTTTTTTATAAACTATAAATATATGTATATATATATATAAATATAAATACAAATATATATAAAGAAAGGAAGCATTAAATTTTCTTCAGAAATTCAAAAAAAATACCACCATTATCATTAATTGCAAAATTTTATCGTAAAGACCAAATAAAAAAAATCAATATCATCATCTTCTTCAAAATATTAATATAATAATAACAACAGTAGTTATAAACTTCTTCGTAACATGGAGAACTTGGTTAATTTAACACAAACCATTTTAATAATTTTTTTGATTGCATTATGCTTGGTATTAATTTCGCTCTTGATTTCTTATAAATCCGAAGTGTATAATCATTGTGATCGCGGGAAGTATGGTGGCGATGACGACGACGATGACGATGAAAATGACAAAAAAAATATTAATAATATTTTGAATAATATGAATTTAAATGTTGGCAATTATAATAGAATTTTTAGAGATGACGACGTGATCACGATGAAGATGAAGCTGGAAAAGAAGATTAAGAGTCAATAACATAGAATATGCAAATTATAAATTATAAATTATCATATAGTAATAGACATAATGCACATTAATATATATTACTTGTGCAATACTAACATATACAGATGTTTACAAACATCATCATTGATCGTTGTTAAACATCAACAAACATTCCCATAATTGATTTTATTGTGAGTGTATTTGCTAACAAATAATATATTGTCCCGTCGGATTTTATAGTTAATATAATCATTTCCGGGATCTTCGTTATTTTCATCATAATCATATTATGTTATGAAAGTTCCCATTCAAACTTTCTCTCTATCATCATAAGGTTGACAATGATGGTGCTGAAAAAGAGTGGAGGAGAGAGAAGAAATTAGGAGAAATAGTTTAAAGAAAAAAAAAAATTATCTTCCTTGCTGAATTTTATCCTTTTCGCTAACGAGTAAATATGGATATATATATATATATATATATATATGATTTAATTAAAAATAAAAAGAACTTGTACTAATATTTTTTACACATAATAAAGAACAATATAATCTGGCGTCTCTTCAAAAAATGCATTGCATTGAATGAAATCAAAAATGATTAAATTATCCGATTAATATAACAGGAAAGGTCAAAATTGTTCTATTAATTAGCTTATCAACGGATTACTGGAATCATTGAAAAACACATTGATAATAATTAATAGTTGATATATCAAAAAGGAAATTATTTAATCGAGAAGATAACAATTAACTAATTAAAAAGCGCGGGAATAAAGAAAATACATAAGATGATTGTTATTATATTAGCAAGTGAAATTCATAAGATTAACTTTCATACATGCATAATCCATTCAATAACGTATTTAAAATTTGGAAATAAAATTTTCAAATGAGGTGAAATTTCTAATTTGGAATAAAGATTTTTCGGTATGCAGAAAATGGTAACAATTAATTGCAAATTACTTGGCGAGCTAACTTTATTGATTTTCACTAGTACTAGGAATATTATTATTATTATTATTTATATAAATAATATATAATAAATAATAATATATGTTTAATTGTTTGCTTGTTTGTTTGTTTATTTGTTCACAAAATGAAATCAGATGTTTTTGTGGAAGTTTACTACAGAAAGACACTATGATCATTTCAAATTACTAAAGGCTCAATGAAAAGATGTTGGGATCCAAACTAGAAAATGGGCCAATTGCTTTGATATTATTTGTATATAAGAAAATAAATAGATTATTAAATTAGAAAAATATCTGGCAAATAAAAATTGTCACTTGGCAAATTGATTGAGCAAGCCAATTGGGCTTTTATCAACCAAGCCTGCACCAAAACACTTTATGATAAATCGTCAATTGCAAAAATTATTGTCTGAATAAGATTTTAATGCTTTGGTGTTTTATGTCAACTATTAGAAAACAATTTTAAATTTTATTTATTACGTTTGATTCGTTCTTTAATTATAATAAATAGCAATTACTATTGTTCCAATATAACTTATTAATAACCTTCCAAAGCTTACAAAAATCGCCTTTAATATAAGTAGTTATTTGTATTTTTCAGTGGTCCATGATGACAATGATAAAAAAATTACCGGTTACAAGAAACTGCGGCAACACATTATTCAATGTTTTCTAAAATCGGAAACTGGATATCAATTGGTCTTCAGGAAAACTTATCATATCATACAAGCAGAACGATATGAACTGTGATTTAACGCTTGAATAACATCTTGTTTGTGTAAATATAAACATTCCACGCGTCATTTATATAATAAATATTAAAAAGGATCTTGAATAATTCAAATACACATATGCTGTACCTTTATATTCATTCAGGTAAAAATAAATTTTGTTTTGGGTTAATTATCGATAGAATGATTTGTTTCTTCTCGTCACCTGACACTTAAATTACGATTTGATAAACTAGGCATTGTTTAAATCAATATTTTGCGATTTATTTCTTTGTCTGAAACTTATTATTATACATGCTTTCAGGGATTTGGTGGGGAGCTTAAATAGCTAAAGCGGAAATTTTCAACTATTACTATCAATAACCATTTTTATCAATTATGTTTACATTAGGATTAACACCATTTGTTGAACTTTTCTTTTTTGAATTATTAAGTAAAATAAGTTCCAATTAAGAATTTCTTGTAGGCAGGTCCTAACTGGTTAACTGTTTAACCGGTTTTCAGCCTCTAACATGAATAAAATAGGTTAAATCACTCTTAATTCGTGATAAATAGAAGGGATCGACATGAATTCTTAATTGTATATATATTAATATAGAAATTTAAAATTGACAAAACATCACACTTCAATTGTAAATCTTTGTTTCAGTAGGTGAAATAAAGCCACATTCACATTGTCAGGAGAGTGGAGAGTAAAGGTGATATACAACTAAATTGATTATGTATTACCCATTGAAATCTTTGTAATTATAATTTATTAAAGATAATACAACAGTTGATTCATAATGAGCAGGCATAAGAATTTAAAAAGAAATTTTATCATCAAGTAATAACATACTGACATTTTTTGTTTTTAACAGTATATATTTAATTAAAATCATAATGATAAAGTACATAGTTGTATGATTTTTATTTGATTAATATTAATCTTTGCTTATTTTTAAAAAAAATTATTTTTATGTACTTTACCGGTTAGGTGTTTTTTGACCTCTAATTCATGTATCAATCCACCCAAAATCAATATGCGTTTCCAACTGCAATTATCTTTGATTCATGTATATCAACCAATAACTCAAGTTCGCTCTATTCTAAACCGCAATTTTTTATTGGGATTATGAATAGTTCACTTTTGTAGAATTATTAATACCCGATTCATCCCTAATTGGTTGTAACTCGTTACTATCGTTGTTTTATTGTATTCAGATTTGTTGATTCTATAGATGTAATGGTGACTTAAAACAATCTTGGATGTTCAAATTAATTTTTGTGTCCTTTGTAAACGCCTGCGGATGTAAACATTAATTCCAGCCAATTGAATTCATTAGACCGATTCAATGTCTACTGCACCCACTATATAATAATAACAAAATTTTAAAAAGTCATTTTTTTTTTATAAAATATTCCAGATCGACAATATACGAACCAATGGTTTTATTAATAATCCCAAACTCTATCCTGTTTACGTTTTCTTCTACAATCAAGGTTTAGATGAAATGAGATCTATGATTTGGTCAAACATTTGAATCCAGTTTTAGTAGTTTAAAAATCCCATCAATAATGCCACTCTAAACAACTAGGTAGATGGTATCTGATATTCCCAGTGAAAAAACAATAGTCGGTTCCTAACAATCAATAATTAATTGTTTTTTGTTCTTATAAAGCCATCATCCCCACCATTGATAACCTTGTTACTAAAAAAGAATTCTATTTTTGATAATATTTATGCGCCAGATGAAGAGCTTGGGAGAGATGAGGTTTTACAATTCTCTGAACCAAGAATTTCCAATATTATCTTTATTCTAGGGAACAATGTCAAGATACCTAAACCGAAAACATACTGTATAATAATAGATAACTGATTAATTAATTGTACAGATTATATATATATAATCTAAGAAGGTTTATAATAAATTTATTTTATTTTTTATTGACTGCTGACAATGATACAAATATTAATAATGTAAAAGAAGATCCACGAGAGGAATTATTTTCATCTTATGTGGCAGTTATTTGAATTAAAAAAATGAGATTAATTATTTAATTATGAATATGTTGGACGACCTTCTTAAAATGTTTGAACACTTTGCAAAAGAAAGTGAGGTTAAAAATAGCAAAGGTCATTATTTTGGATGTCGCTATTGTAGATTATCCAAAAACATCTGGTAAAGGAATGTAGTGGTTGCAATAGAGAAATTCGTAAATACTATTTGGATGTCATTAGAAAAAAATGTTTAAAAAAAATAATCAAATTTCTTCTAGTAAAAAAGAACAACCCAGTTTGCCTGAATTCTACGAAAGCACAACATCAACCATAGAAAAGAATGATAATATTAATAGAGCATTAATCAAGACATTTGTAATGTGTGATATACCTTTTAATGTTATATTTTATTGAATTACTTAGACAACTACACACCATCTAATAGAAAAGCAATTCTAGAAGACTTTTTGATGCAGAAGTAACTAATATTATTACCAAAATTAACCTGAAATATAAATGATTATGGATGGTGGTGTGAAGATAGAATAAATGATTATGAAATAAATGATATAGATAGTGGTTATTACTATGATGATAGTGATGTGTATGATGAAAACCAAAACCAGTTAATAATTAGAAAATAGGCTGGAAAAAAATGTTTGAATTTAGAAAAAAAACTAGGTTTAGTATTTATAGTTTGACTTTCAGTTATGTTTTGAATTTCTTCAAACTTGTGAATGTTCGAAAGTACTTTCGGTACACTTTCGATTTCGGTAGACGTCCCTATTTTCTGCAAATAGCTACAGCTGCTGCAAATAGGTTAATGATGGATGTGTTTATAATCACTTAGTTTATATACCATATTATATACTATTACCGTTTTCATACCACTTTTAGGGTTGTACGAAAATAATTTTTTTTAACAAATATACCTGCAGCATCAGAATGTAATTAATTATGGACTCACCAATGAAAATGTATTTAAACTTGTTTAGATATATTTCCTTGGCGTTTTTCTTAAAGCCTTTTTCTTTACTTCTTTTGATCCTTCATTATTTTGTTTAGGTTCCTTTCTTCGTCTTGAATCTCTTCCATCTGATTGTATGTCCATTGCTACACCTGTTCCTTCTTCAGTAGTCTTTTGCTTCTTCGTTTCTACAGGAAACATTAACTTCACCGTATTTCCTACAACCATGTCTGCTAACATTGATTGTTGCCGAGTATTATTATTGGTATTCCGATTATTATTGTTGTCACCACTATTATTATTATTATTCCTGATCACATTATTGTTACTACTATTATTGTTGTTGTTGTTCCTATTATTGTTACGACTACCATTGTTGTTATTGTTTCCTCCATTATTATTTTGTGGACAGTCCTTACTGTAGTGTCCTAATTCCTGGCAGCGATAACATCTAACTCCTATGTTTTCACTGTTCTTATTGTTGCCATTGTTACCATTAGAGAGTTGTGGACAATTCGGTTTTATGTGTCCTTGTTGTTTACAATTGTAGCATGTTACCGGCGAACTGTTTTCACTATTTTGAATCCTTGGTCTTTGCTGGACATTATTATTTACTTTCATTAGGTTAACCAGTTGATCAATTAACCCTTGTAGTGGTTGGTTCACCCCTTGATTCATTCCTGGAATGTTAGGCATGAATTGTTCTGCTGAATATGTCGACAAGGTTCCTCCTCTAGAATATGTCATCTCATAAGCCTTAGCTCTCTATCTATTGCAACTTGAATAGTGTCAGGTAAGAATGGACTTAATGCTATGGATAATTCTGGTCGTAACCTTTCCATGAACATTCTTGCATTAACTCTATTTGGATAATTGTTTGTTAAACATTGTCAATTGGCGATTTTTTGCCATTTTTGCCCCGCCGATCCTACTAATTTTCACTGGTTTATTCATGGATCGTCAATTAACTATTTTTGTCTAGATAAAATATCCTGATCACGTTATGTTAGTACACAGTGGGTCTCGATTTAACGGACCTCGATTTAGCGGATTTAGGGGTTTAACGGATAAATTTTCAAAACCAAATTTTTCTATAATTATTTTATCTCGATTTAACGGATTTAACGGATTTTAATATATATTCGATTTAGCGGATATTTTTTAAAAATCCATATATGTCACTTATAATAAAATTCTCTCGATATTACGGATAATGATGATTCTTGCCTTTTTTGGATAGCCTAATTTTATAATAATAAGCGTATAATAAATAAGCGTAATGATGTATTATTAATATTAAATATTAACAACATTTTAATCGAACATATTGTTAACTATTTCTTGGCAATGGCACTTGTATATAATGTCATTTTTTTTTATTTCTTTAAATGCTGACGAATTTATTATGAAATGACAGAACAAGAAATTGTAAACATAGTGTTGGGGAAATCTGAAGTTGAAGATAATGAGGGTGTTGATAAGATAAGCGAGCCAATTGTAACAAATACAGAAGCTATAAATGGTTGAAAATGCGCTTAAATATATACAACAAAAATATTTAGAAGTTGATCCTCAAATAATTAAAAATATATAAATATATTGAAGTTAAAAAGAGAAAATTTCTTATAGAAGCACCCAAGAAGCAAAATAATGTTGCATTGATGAATTTATGGGTTGACAATGATATTATTATTATTATTATGTTATATTCTGTTTTTTATGTATATACAACAAAATAAAAAAATTTTTTTTGTACACATTTAATTTGTATCACATGATTTGATCATAAGTTTCGATTTAGCGGATCTCTCGATTTAACAGATAAATTTTCTGGAAAAAAATATCTGTTAAATCGAGATTCACTGTGTATTTCCCTGAATTATCTTTATTAAATAATTGTTTAGAAATTGTTCATTATGTATAAATCATTATAATCAAGTTGTTGCTACAGACAATTTTTATCAGAATCTTTTAAATTCAGATTTAAGTTCAGACATATGTTTAATTCAAAAAAACAAAAGGTTTTG